TTTCCATATTCTGGATGAAGATTCATTCCGATTTTGCTCATCCTACACACACAGCTCCCTCTGGTCTGCGCCTCGCGTTGTTGAGGGTACACAGTTTTATACCCCTGAGTCATTTTTTTGTCGTCGGTCATACGGGTCACCCTTTCGGGTTCAAATGGTAGTTGGAAGGGTGGTGAATTTGCGGGGGCGTAACTCATTGAGAACTGACATTTGTTGCTGGTGGAGGACCAGTACCTGCCCGTAGAAGGCCGAGGAGGCTGTCTAGTTGATATAGCTCAGTGGTTAGAGCACCGGTTGGAAATGTGCATAGTGGTATGAGGTTGCAGGTTTAAATCCGCAGCCTTGCGCATGGACACTGGCAGGGCGTTAGAATGACGCACGGCTATAAGGGACAAGGAGGGGCAAGAGGACTTCACCAAGTACTACATGCTCAGGTTCCACGACTGGCTCCAGGTCGACCCCAACATTCAGATGAAGCACCCCGAGGAATTTCCAGATATGGTTCCCCCGGCTGCCATGACAATCGTTGAAAGGCAACGGTATGGGTATCAGTAAGGGGGTCGGTCTGTTGGGCATCTGCACTTAGCTGATTATATAGGCAATAGTCACTGCAAAGAATGCAGGTTTCATTGGCACGTAGAGGAAGGTAACAGTCACACATAAGTACGCAAAGTCTGTCTCTGAAGGTGGACCGGGTTCAGGGTGAAGAGGCTCCTGCCCCTCCAAACTAAGATCGAAAGTCAGACCGTACTGCACACAGGGGATGCAGGCTCCAGGGTTGTGGTAACAGAGGTAACTGGGACTGCACACAATCACTGACTGATAGAACACGGAGGGAACAGAGGGCCTGCTGAGGTCTCTATGGTTTTTAAGGGTTTAAAGGGTCAGTCGCAGCAAAAATCAAACAGGGGGACTGCTGTAACAAGGCTGAGAAAAATATAAGGGAGCTCCAATAAGGGGATGCCATTGGGTGTATTAGCAGTTCCATGGGACAACAGATCCCCGGGATGATCAAGGAGCACAGCCTCAGGAAACCCACAGACATGCTCAGACATTTTCAGACAGTCATTATTCTCTCTGTAATATGGGACGCTGGACCCGCTTTCCAGCAGGTGATGCTCCCCACCAATAGACGGAGCCTCTCCCTAGGTGTTAGTGGTGTCTGCTCTTATCAGCAGCACTAACACTGGCGGGGGTGTTGTTTTAGGGGAAAAAAAAAACAAAAAAAAAACAATGACGCACGGCTGGACACACATCCCCTAGGGCTGGCGCATGGTAAGCTATTACAGACACTGGCCCCGCACCACCCAAGGGTTGTCTACGGTGTTGTATGCCGGGTCTTGATACTGCGTGTGGTGGTTCTGTTGATCTCCCCAATCTGGCATATCACACAGTGTCACAGGTGTCGTTTGCGATTGTTACTCAAATGGTAGAGTCTTCAAGTCACATGTCATAGATCATGATTCGAGTCTGGCTTGGAACTTTGAGGGCGTTCTTGTCTAGCTTGGTCTGTCATCTCTTCAATGAACACTTAGTTCCCTCGACATAGTACTACACATATCTGGCCTTCTGGCACATACATCTCACTATACACTTACACAGCACACACATAGCCTTCGGGCAGACACAAACATGGCTCGTGAACATATATACACATAGCCTATGGGCTCATACAAACATACATAGTGTTTGAGCACACATATACACACAACTATGATACCGGGCTAAGGGGAGGGCTATCAGGTATACGACGGGGTCTACTCATGTGTGGCTTAGCTCTAGGGTTCCCTCTACATCGTACTACACATATCTGGCCATCGGGCAAATACATCTCACTATACACTAACATAGAGCACACATAGCCTTCGGGCAGACACAAACATGGCTCGTGAACATATATGCACATAGCCTACGGGCTCATACAAACATACATAGCGTCTGGGAACACATATACACACAACATGATACAGGGCTCGGGGGGGTCTATAGGTATATGACGGGGTGTACTCATACATGATGGCTTAGCTTTAGGGCTCCCTCTACACAGTACTACACATATCTGGCCTCCGGGCACATACATCTCACTATACACTTACACAGAGCACACATAGCCTTTGGGCAGACACAAACATGGCTCGTGAAAATGTATGCACATAGCCTATGGGCTCATACAAACATACATAGGGTCTGGGCACACATATACACACAACTATGATACCGGGCTCGAGGGGGTCTATCAGGTAAGTGACGGGGTCTACTCATGCATGGCTTAGCTCAAGGGTAGGATAGGGATATAAGTCGCTCCGGCTAGTCTGAGTTCCGCCTAGCCTTGGGTAATTTAGGGGAAGAATGGTAGGATGTGTCCATGGGCGCTGGCTTGCCTTGCTCCTGCTGGGTAGACTCTCTGGATTGGGCCTGTAGAAGATTGCAATGAGCCTAGCGTCCGGAGTTTCCATATGGCAAGGTTTGTCCGCTTCCGCTTCCACTAGGGCTGGGGGGTTGGCCCAGCCTTGGTGCTTGTCACTGCTGTCTGGTCCGAGTTGCCCTCGATACTCGTAGGGTGATGGTCCTCAGTGTCGGTCACACTGAGGTAGGATAGTAGGGACAGGGGGTGCGCTTGGAGTATTAAAGTGGGGATGGGTAGGGTAGGTGGCCTATCCTGTCAGAACAATCATTGGCTGCCGCTGCCAGCAATCACCGCAGGTCTGGTCCTTGGCCTCTTCAATACCCTGGGCTTTTAACTAAAAAAAAAAAAAAAAAAAAAGGAGGCTGTGGTCCTGTAGTTGAACATTTCCAAATCGAAATGACGTGGGTCCACGTTTCTCAAATAGAATGACACTTCAAATAGACCGGGTACGTGTTGTATTCGAATACTAAATGTGTCTTTTCTATTCTAATTTTTTGAGGAGAAAAAACTTTTGTATTCGAATCAAACATCACCTTTTCTTTGTTTTCAAGGTTAGCACCTGCCCTTGTGCTCCCCGCAACTGACGTGCGGCATGCTGCAGGGCTCTCTCTCTCTCTCTCTCTCTCTCTCTCTCTCTCTCTCTCTCTCTCTCTCTCTCTC